CAAATAGAGTAGGAACAATTTGTTTTAGAATCTGGGGAGGAAATGAGGACATAACTTTCACTTCCATAGTCAGACAAACTTAAGATGAATCTGAGTTAGGTAAGCCTCATCAAGGCCTAAGTGAATATATCAAAGTGTATTAGCAAGAAAGTTTATTGAAATATCACTTTTTTAAATTAAATTTTAGGCTTTCCCATTACAAATTTATTGCCAAGTGTTATGGCTAGAGTTTTGATTAAGAAGCTCTTGGAAGGATAATCTCACAATTGCTGTGATTTCATCATATTACCACGTCTCTAATTAGGCTCTGCCTCTAATATTGCCCTTTTTACTAAACAGGAAATTCATTTTATATTGAATAAATTTTTTTTCCTAAGAGGCAAATTAATTACATAATTTTTTCTTTAAAACTCTCTAGTGTTCTGCTGCTGCCTATTGGATAAATCCCAAATTCCAGCAAGTTTCTTCTTACTAAGGTACTTGTATACTTTTGTACCCACCATTTCCCTACAGACACTTTCTGTTTTCTTCCACGAAAACACTAGCAGTTTCTTAGGTCTGCCATGCTCTTTCATCTCTCCATGTACATTTATGTGTCTAGACTCTCCCTCTCTCTCACTATTTCTGACTTCCTTTTTACCAGGTATACATTCTTCTTTACTCAGTTCAAATTTTGTGACTCCCAAGATGAAATTGGCTATTGCTTCCCTAAACTCTTATTACTTAGGTACAAATTTCTATTACAGGATGTCATTTTATACCATAATTGTTTGTTTTCATGTCATATGTGCCACTTGGCTGTGAGAATCACAAAGGCACAGCCTGTGCATTTGATTTGTTGCTGGCTTCCCAACAGCTGGAATATTGCAGGTCTCTGAAGTAAATAAGCACCCTTGACTCTCAGACTTGGTGAGCAAACCCACTTATTGGAGTGCTGTCTTTCTATCCAAGGAGAGCACACTGGCTTTTGATGCAAAAAGGCAGACACCCCTTCCTGGGTAATAATATCTTCTCCTAGGCTTCTACTGTTCTGCATTGCAGTCAATGCAAATGGAATAATGCCAATCATGATATAATCTTCAAGTCAGCTTAGTGAAGTATTCATTTTTATTTAATTCTATTGTATTTATCTCTAACTCCTCCTAAAAAGATAACTTGGTATTTTATTGTTCTTCATCTACAAGGTTTTGACCAAATATGAAGAAAAATGAACCCTCTCACTTAAGTAAGAGTGTGGACTTTACACCTTTAATCTACTACTTTTTTTAAAAGCCAGATAGTTTAAAGTCTCAGACTGGTGATCATTTATGATATTATTTATGAAAAGCTGTACCAAAACCTATTCTCTTTCTGTTTTTCCATTACTGACACCTTGGGGTCTGTTTTCCCCTTGCTATAAGACTCACTACAAAGTGTGAATCTAAAATGGTCACTTAATATTTGAAAAATGCAGTCAGACATTTGCTTCTATATAGAATACCCTTACTAAATAAAATGCACAACGGAAATCACAGCAGTAGTGGGGAACACCTGGAGGTCCAATGCCTTCCAAAATCTTACTAACTCATTACAATTTGGAAGTCCAAGTCTAAAATCAATAACAGGAAGTTCACATAAAAATGTTAAAAACACAAATTAATGCAAATGTTCAGATTATTGAGTAGGAGGAAAATTTGCAGAAAATTTATCTTTTATAAGGTGAATGAAATTTATATTTACATACATACATATAATTTGATTTGGTAAAGGCAATTATAATTTTTAAATACATGACTAATAACTCTTTGGAAAATAAATTTATTCCACCTTTGAGCTTACTACATTGGCCCATATGAAAATGCTCTGTATTGCTAAGTAGCACCTAAAATTTGTATACCTGGGGCTCACACTTAGAAATATGGTTTTTCTTTCCATAAAAGTCCAATGCTTATGGAATGATTCTCTTTATATTATTTATCCTTATATCTTTTACAATAAATTTTATCTTACTGAGAGTAGGATTGCTTATTTTTGAGATGTCTTCCCAGATCTACAAAGTAACTGCACATTAAATGTTATCTACACAGATACATAGTTACATATCTCCATACCAGACCATCTAAATTTTATAAAGGTAATATAATTGTTTTAAAGGAAACATTAAGAAATACAGAAAGATATATGCACATATGAACACAGATCTGAACAAGGATTTTTGGATTAAGTCAATAAATAGTAATGTTATTTGCATAGAGGATACATAGAAATTGTTTCTGATTTTCAGGCCACCTCATGGGGAATTCCCCTTCTAATGTAAGAAAAGATTTTACTATTTATAAGAAGAGAAAGACATCATTAATAAATTTAAGGGTGTGGTGTAGAGAGTGGAGAAAATGATGCCGTGGGTTTTCAGGAAATTGGGTCATACTATTTACAGGGTATATGAAAATCCCTTTTCATTCACCTACATCCTAATATCCATTCCCTCATCCTGTGAAACAGAGATTTACCTCATCACAACTATTAAAAAAATGTATTGGTATAAGTCCTCCTTAGAATTACTATAAGAGAAGCGTTCCAAATAAAATTTGAACAAATGCTCCTAAATTTAAGACCATTGTTCTAGTCAAGGATGTATTTGGAATACCTCAAATTGATTTTTTCTCCCAAAGAGCAGCAATTATTTTAATGAAAAGTTAAGTTCAGTAATTATTAATTAAAATATAAATAAGATTATTATGAGTTATTTTGTGGATATATGGCAAGCATTTTATTCTGGTGATACATACTGTGTTTTTATTTACAGTGACTTCTTATATTTAAAATAAGAGAAAAATTTATATCTAGATATCTTTGTCTACAGTGCAAAATGATTGAAGAATATTTAAGTAACATATATTCTTAAAAAGTAAATAGGTCATATATTCTCATGAAAAGTAAAAAGAGTAATAAATTATGCTTCCATTCCTAGTGAAAGGATATTTTTACTTCAATGTCAATTTTGAAATATAACCTCTCATTTTTCCTACATCCTGCCATATTTTCTGATTCACTTTCTTTATAATGTGATAGTATTCCTAAGGGGAATATTAAGAAAGTCACAACTTTAGGAAAGAAACTTAATCATTTTGCAACCTTTGCTGTCATCAGTTTGCATAACATTCAGTGTCTCTTCTCAGATAAAGTTGAAAGGCTTAGGGGAAATTTGCCAGGAACTTAACTATGAGTCATTTAACAAATGAAAACTTGACTTTTCCCAGCAGAACCTGTTCTTAACAAGGGCTCTTTCCAGAACCTCAGTGGGTAGGTATTTCATGCTGTATAAGGTAAGCAGTGTTCACCTGTCTTCTCCCTGAAAGTCTCTCCTTGTGTTGAGATCCAAAGGTGAATGGACTCTGGTGGAGCTGTGTCAGGGTAGATAGAAGCTTGCATCCTCTAGATTACCACTACAGAACATAATAGAGTATCTGTAAACTTGTTTGATCTGGCATTAAGTTATCATGGCAAGTCATACACATTTCCAGAAACTTATTGCCACAGGAAGCAGATGGAGTCTTGGAGGCAGTATGTGGTTGTGAAATGAAGGCCCTTTGCTGGGTGGGAAAGGTTTACAGTAGATGCAGGTCTTTTTCATAAAAATAGTTATGTTTTTGTTGGGGCTGACAGGACTACAATTACACTGACTTTTAAATGTTCGTATATGACCATCATCTTTTTAGTGTGCGATATTTTACTTCCTTTCCTTATAAGGCAGTGATAGAGAAGGCCTTACAGCTGGTATTTATATCCTGGTTGTACCACTTACCAGATGAGTGAACTGGATGAGTGGCTTAAATTCCTTGTGTTTCTTTTTGTGTATACTTGGGAATAATAACAGTTAAGTCATAAAACGTATAATAAGAATTAGATAAATCAATATACTTAAAGGGATTAGCAACATGACTGACATATAGCAAACATTTGGATAAATCCTTATAATGATGAAATGTCACATACTCACACTCTCCCAAGTTCCTATTCAGACACAAATTACTATGGAAAATTGGAACAAACTTGAAGAATGGTGGTGCTGGGATTGATTTAGCAGCTCATTTGTGCCATTAAAGTATTTGTATATTATTTATGCTCTACATCCTTGGGGTATAAATATTATTGCCTTTTTGGCCACAATTTGGATCATGAAGAATTGGAGATTATTTCTACCCAGTAATATCCCATCTGTAAGGAAGCAATCAGCAGTGGAAGAATGTCCTACTTTTGCATTTCTTTCTTCTTCTCCACTTTCTCCTCTCTTTTAAACAAGGAGATGCTACTTTGCAGATGCTATACCAAGAAACACTTCTGTATAGCTCCTTCTGGCATATATATATCCTTCATTACTAAACCAAAGTGGGCTCTACTATAGTATGCCCTTAGATGCTCTGCTTTATGGTAGAAGCACTCATAATCCCAAATATTGAGAGCTTTGGATTGTCAGATGATTTCAGCTCTGAGAATTTCCCTTATCCTCAGAGAGACATTCCGCCCAAGGTTCCCCATTCTCCCTAGGTACTACTACATGTGTAGTGTTTCCTGAAAGAAGCATTCAGACATGGTCCAAACAAGGCTTCTGAAACTTTAACATGTCTATGCATCATCTGAGGATCTCCTCAACTTATGGGTTTTGGTTCAGTATATGTGGACCTGACACCTTTCACTTCCAACTGGCTCACTGCAATGCCAATGCTGCTACTCTTCTAACCACATTTGAATTGGCAAGGCTCCTAAGCAGCAGCCTTCAACCAGTTCAATAGGAGAAATGCCTGGAGAGCTTTGATGCCAAAGCTACACTCTTAGATCAGAAAATTTTGGTTGTTTTCCTGAGCCTAACAGTACCAGAAATACCTTAAAATCTACTCAAAATACAAAGTCCATGTTCATCCAGATGGTCTGAGTCAGACTCCTAGGAAAGAACCTCAACAATCTCATTACCTGGGTGGTTCAAGTCCAAGCACCACTATCTCAGAGATTCTCATTAAGTTAGTGAAGGTAAAACACAAGAATTCACATTTTTACTATAAAAAGAGAACCAGTACCCTGGGCTATTATGAAGTTCAAGAAATTCCTTCCAAGAAAAATGTGATTCTTCTAGTACACTTGTGCTAGGGGTGTAAGAAGAATGAATGCATGCTATCCTTGAAAAAGGACAATAAAACACCATGTTCTTGAAACTCCTCTTTCCATTCCCAAGAACTTAGTCAAGTTAAGGGAACAATAAAAGCATAAAAGCGGGCTCAGACCAGAACATCCAAATAATTACTATCATGAACAGGACACTAACTCTCTTTCTCACCTATGTAGCAACTGGGGAAAACTAGTGTTATATGCAGGAACTACTTTCTTGCATGCATACCAGAATAGCTGCTCCTTGGAATGCTAGTCATACAAAGAACAAAGCACACTAGGCAAAATAACAATGTCACTGCTTCTGTCACCTACCTTATAAAACACTTCCTGTGTAGTAACTAGTAAACAGTTGGTGGCACTATGGAAAGGATAAGGGTCACTTTTCCATTTGGCTGCCACTGGACAAAGGGCCAAGAGGGACAGAGGTGCTCTCTGTCTAGCCTGTCACCATGGAATTTCCCTGAAAGCATTTTCCAATAAACCTTGTATCTTGAATACTATCTTCAAGCATTTTCTTTCACCTTTTGGCAACCTATTCCACTGCCCTAGTAGAACTAGGCCATGGTCTCAACAGAATCCAGTTACTTTGGTATATGATATTTCTTATGAGACCAAAATCAAACAGTTTGTAACTTTGTTTTCTGCTACATAAGTAAATGATCAATTTGCAGTTGTCATTTTACATGACTAAGTAATAGCACTTGACACTTTTTCCTTTCTAGTTTCCCTTGGCTTTCCATCTCAACCGCCCCTCCTTTGGTCTCCAAAGCTGATTCCTTCTTAACTGGCCTTCTCTACCTTGCAATGCTCACAGCAAAGTTCTTGATTCTTTTCTCTATTCAGACTCACTTCCTGAAAGGGAAGAGATTATTAGTAAGGTGCCCAAAACTCCCAAATTATGTTTTTAATACAAAGTTCCCTTTCTCAAATTCCTATACTGATTATTCAACTTCCAACTTGATATCTCCACTTCTGTTTATAACATCAAAACCTCCCCAATGAATTCTTAATCTTCCATCTCAAACCTACTTCAACCATGACCAGCTCAGATGATGATGATTCTATATTTCCAAAGCTCAGGCAAAACACATTTTAAGTAATCTCAGTTCACTATTTTTATCATTCCTTATATCTAACCCATCAAGAAAACCTATTGAATTTACTATCAAAACATACCTGGAACCTGTTCACTTTTCACCATATGCCCAGCTTTAACACTGGTTCAAGTAACTATCACTTTTTGCTTAGATCATTGCAGCAGATTCTACCAAGTTTCCTTATTTCTCCTCTTGCACTCCTACCACCTCTTCTCAACACAGAAGCCAAGAGATATATTTAAAACAACTGGGACAGGTCCGTCTTCTACCCAAATCCTACAGTGAATGCCAGGTTTATTCTGAACAATAAAAGGCAAAGTCCAAATAGTGACCCTCAATCCTTTTCCTGAAAGCTCTTCTTGCCTCATTATTCATTACAGTACTGGTGTTAAATAAGGCAAAGGATTAACATTGAGTATGACTTTTCAGCAGTAAATGATAAACTCACAAGAATAAAAAAATTTAAAAAGGTAAATGCTCTGAGATTAACATCTTGATTTCGCATATAAATCCAATAAAATTATCACTTAATTTGTGACTCTTCTCTACTTTTTTCCTCTTTATAACATTTTACTGAGAAGAGTCTATTTTGTTGTGTTTGTGTGTTTATGTTTGTTTCCTTGAGCTTTTATGAAGTCTTTTTAAACTTTCACATAATCTTTCTCCTTTCCTCCACCTCTCAATCTTTCTTTGCATATTGGAAGATTCCAATTCTATATGTCATAATGTCTAAAAGCTTGAATTCTGAGTTGGAAACAATAAAGTGCATTATACAAGGTAGTATCACATGAAGCCTCAAGTTTTCTACAATAAAA